TATTTCTGGAGAAATCAGTGGAATTGGCAATGATTTTAATGGAATTTCTGCATACCTCACATGCCTCAACATTACATGCAATCTCAATCTTGCCTTCATGATTAAAAGCCATAGCTTGTACACCAGGAAATCCCCCTGGAGATGAAGCACGGATTGATTGAGCAATGGTTCTGCCTWGGTCAAGGTCATTGGTATCRATGGTCACGTTACAGTTAGTAACATAAGGTACTGCACCAACACCTGTACACCCATATCGCTGTGATGGGGACATACCAATATCATAACCAATATTGCTGTAACTCATTCCTGATTTTCCTTGGTACCATTGCACAGCCTTTCTTCTATTAACAAGTCCACGGCATTGGGGAACATCAGCATGCCCAAAGAAAAAAACAGATGTTCCTGAAATAGATTCCACAATCCGTTTTCCAATCCTTTGTGCAATTTCACCACATTCTCGTAAAGTGACACTAGGGTGAATTGGATGAATTGGAATAAGATCAACAGAGCCCAGCCTTGGATGACCACCGCTGTGTTTAGACAGATCTATGTATTCAAATGCGGTCTTGCACGCGTTGTAGACGCTTTCTTCTATATTTTCAACAGGAGCCGCTATAGTTATCACGGACCTGTTGTAATCCGAGTCAGAGAAAACGTTCAAAACAGWCGAAGGGCATTTTATACCAGAAGAATGACTTTGTGCGTGATTCTGAATGCCAACTGCAGATTGGGCCACTAATTCAGTTACCTGTTTGCTTCTTCCTTCAGAAATATTGAGCAAACACGCTACTAAGCGCAATGKGCAATTTTGCATCTTTGCAGAGAATTGCAGATTATAGCCCAGGTTCTCTCCACATTGAAATAATGAAGGTATCCCGATGATCCCGGTAGTTTAAGCTACTCTGGACAACAAAGATTTAGAAATTTAACTTATTTTAAAAGAAATATGAAACAAGGGAAAAATTTCCCTTAAAAGGGAATCAAGTCCATATAGATAAAATATACTTAAAATAATTGAAGATCTATATTTGTGACGGGAAAGCCTGAAATATTTTTAGTCTTTTCATTTCCGGTATTTTTTTACGATCATATTTTCCTCCCGATCTCAACCTCCCGATTTCTAATGTGCATTTATATAACTATTAGTTATATTGTAAATGTAGTTCTTTTTAACTGGATAAATGATCGAGGTCTGGAGACAGACCACTTTCGAATGTTTACATATATGTGTAGTGCGCCAGTGCGCGTCATGTTTCAGTCCTGATCACAACCAATCATAACACAACACTTCTGACGTCATTTCACTTTCATTTCGTCCCGGGGTAAGTCACGTGACTGTATTGGGCCAATCAAATTTGAATAATATCCCAGAATGCAATGGTATGTTTTTGGTGCGCGCGCGTTTGGTTTTCTGGTTCCCCAAAACAAAATGTCGACGACGGAGGCTGTAATGACTTCCACTACAGCCTCTGCTTCGTCGGAAAGTAGGTTAGCAACATCTCTCCAACCTCAACCGGAGAAACCTTTCCATTATACGTAAGTGATGTGTGTACTTTCCTAGTTAATAAAATTTGCCGWATAAGCTCTAAAAAATTTGTTATGCTTCCTGAAACTTAGGTACTTGAAGGAGTTTCGAGTGGAGCAGTGTCCTCTTTTCCTACAGCACAAATGTACAGCTCACAGACCTTTCACTTGTTTTCATTGGCATTTCATGAATCAAAGAAGGCGAAGACCAAAGAAAAAAAGAGATGGAACGTTTAATTATAGTCCTGATGTTTATTGTACCCAATATGACGAAACAACGGGGATTTGTCCTTCTGGAGACGAGTAAGTCCGACCAACTAGCATCCATTTTTTTCTTGACATATTTGCTTTGCTTTTTATGCGAATATTTTCTCTCATTCCACCTTCAAAGCCGATTGGATTTCTTTATTACTTCGTTGTCTTGCTAATATTTCGTTCTATTTTAGCTGTCCTTATTTACATCGAGTTGCTGGCGATGTTGAACGTCGCTATCATCTTCGCTACTATAAAACTGCAACCTGCGTATACGAGACCGATTCTCGAGGATATTGTGTGAAAAATGGACCTCACTGTGCCTTCGCTCATGGACCTCACGATCTCAGACAACCTGTCTACGATGTCAGAGAACTGCAAGCGATGGAGAAAGAAGATGTTGACGGTCAGCAAGGCGGCGAAAATAAAGCTGTGTTGGAGGATCCTCGCTGGCAAGGTTTGTACAAGAAGATGTACTATAATCTTTGCTCTCGTCGTTAGCTTCCGTTTATATTGAATTCTTGTCAATTTGAACGTTTGGAGGCATTTTTACGGCTATAGTTTTGTGTAATTTGTGTTATTCTGTACATCGAATCCTCAAAGGTGTCGAAATTTGGGCTCAAGTATTAAAGAAATTTATAAACGGGACCTCAAAACCAACAAAATCTGACGATTACGCAGGGCAGCTACGTTCGATAAACAAAAACACAATTTCACAAGTCATGGAAAATTATTCTGTTATACTTACATTACTTTGAAATAATTCTTACACTAGTGAATTAAATAATTATAAAGGTCTTTTTTTCGTCTGGAAACTTTCTTTAAATCGAAATTTTTATTTAAACAAGCGGTCTTACTCAAAGCATGTATTATTGATGATCTAGTGTATTGTCTTATCACACTTTCGAGAAAAAAATTATGTCGCCGTAATCTTTAACCCTTTTAATTTACTTCGACTCTGAGAAATGCAAAAAAAAATATTTTTTATGCACCATTGTTGTGCATAAGTGTATCCTGTCAAATTGTGCATTAATGAAATGTGTACTTAACTGTAATGTGTTTTTGATATAAGCTAAGATTTAATATGACATGTTCTTAAGTTAGTTTCTTTTAACTTGTATATTTGCATGTTAATATATATTTTTTATTTTGTTTTGCATGCAAAGATACCAACTTTGTACTGTCTAATTATAAAACGGAACAATGCAAGAAGCCTCCTCGTCTGTGCCGACAAGGGTATGCCTGCCCATATTATCACAACACAAGGGATAGACGGAGAAGTCCAAGGAAATATAGATACAGGTACATTATTTGTGACTATAATTTTTTTTTGTGTGTGCATTGCATGCTAGACAATTATTAGATGAGGTTTTTGCAATATCTGAAATATTCATGGTCGAAGCATTCAACCTCAGCCGATTATATTTGCCAAGACCTTGATTATTCAGATATCACAAAATTTGAATTCAATAATTGTTTTATTTAACATTGTTTGAATTTTATGAAAGCTTTTGGCAAATTAAGTTATGTCAAAGTGCGATTTGAAAGTAAAATGCTGCAAAGAGCATAGTTTTTGTGGCGCCTATGGTCAGCAATGCACTTCAGGCAAAATCTACAGAGTATCGAAAAAGGTTATTGGCTAGTTTAATTACCTTTATGATAGTCTGTATGTTGTCTGATTGCGAAGATCAAATGTAACCTGTTAACAAATCAGATTTTAGGTAGTTGATATAATGTATTATAATCTAATTCATTGGCTGTGGTAACATGGTTCGTCAGCCTTAATTAATTGTTGATAACTATTTTGTTATAATTAAAAACTTTAATTGTATGACTTTAATTTAAAAATGCATACTTAGACATTACATAAGTCAAAAAATGACAGAATCCAGATTCCTGTAATCTACRAGGGACTCATAGAATCTTGTAAATCTCGCACACGCTAACTTTCACTTTCATGGGTATGCAAACTTTGTTGCATTCACTGAGGAAGGTCACGTCTTGGCCGAAACGTTTGAATAACCAGCTTTTTTAAAAACTAAAGCTAGAGTCAAAAATACATGTTTTTAATTATTACGAATTCTCAGCAAGCTGAGAATCTCAGAAGCTGCAAATTTAAACTATTTTGTTATCAACAACTAAATTTGGTTGATTAGTTTTTGTGACCCAATGGAGAATTTCACACACTAGATAGTTTATTATCAATGACTATCGCTTTCCTTATGCATACTTGGTACATTTCAAATGGTGGTTACTGGTAAGAAGAATTGTTATAAAGACAGAAAACAAAAATGTAGAAACTCAGATAATAATTATGTGAATGATATATATAATTAGGTGATTATCAATATAGCAAGAGTGACAAAAAGAAGATAATTAATTTATCATAAAAGTATAGTTGAAGTAAAAATGACAATAATGGACAAGAAAAAGATTTGTTCCACAAAGTAGAAAAAGTGTTTATGCATTAAGTTTTCAATAACTATTTTTAATCATTAATTTTTCTAGCTTCCCTTTTGCGAAGGGAATGACTGACTAATCTTTGAGATGTAAAATTATTTCTTTAGAAGTCATACTTATTACTCTCCTAAAATGTTTTCATTCAATTTTCATGAGAGAGCAATTTTGAATAACACACTAAATGACATGCAAATAAGAATTTTGCAAGGAAATAAATGCCTGTATAACTGGAAAATGTTGAAATAACAAGTTTGTACAATAAATACAACATGTAATGTTATCAATTTTTAGTTACTAGTTAGTTTTAAATGAGTTYAGAAATAGTTTTACATATGTGTTTTTCTAAATTGATTATACTTTCGGGTGGTTAAATTTAAATAAACTTAGGAAATTATCATTTTTTTCTAGAAGTCATGGACTGGATGCTCCTTGTTGTACTATAATCGTATCAGTGATCATGATAGTTGCTTGGGCAACTTTCTCAAAATGCAAATATCATTTTTTTTCCAATCACCAGAATCCATGAATGGTGAATCTTTAGTATTCTTTGTTATTTAGCAATTAAACATGGATGAAAATGAGCTTGATATTCGTACTACCTAATATTAAAGATATTTGTTATCTCTTCTCTGTATACTATTATAATTGTGCTTTCTTCATTCATTGGTTAACTCGAATATCTTAACTCTGTAGTTTTACTTTGCTCTTTAACTTTATTTTTTAACTTGACATTTTGACTGTACTTAACTCTTGGATGGCAGTACTGTTTACATTATATTGTAATGTTATCTTTTATAATAGTTTCCATAATTAAATATGCCATATTTGTTGCAGTGGTAAAATGTGTTCTGATACAAGAATTCCAACTCTACGTTATTATAAYCAGCTGTATTATAATAATTGTTCATTGTAATACAAATTACATGTTGTGTTGTTTCTTATCAATAATCAATCGCATGGCTACTTTTGGTCTTGCAATGGCTGTTCAAAAATTGACATTAGCCATCTTATCTGACAACCTTTTTTGAAAGTTGGTCATTTTGTTGTATTGATTATAAAATGTCAAATAATTGTACAGAAATTTGTWAAATTGGTTTTTGCAACCATTCTAACCAGGATGCCTTCTTTAGTTATATGATTAGCTCACAGAAGGTCAAAGTTTCAATATTTATACTTTCTACTAGACAATGTTGTAATAAACATTGTGTTTTTGTTTTCTCAGATCTACGCCTTGCCCTCATGTGAAACATAGTGATGAATGGGGAGAACCATCAAGCTGTGAAAGTGGAGATAACTGTCCTTATTGTCATACTAGAACTGAACAACAATTTCATCCTGAGGTATGACTTGATTGTTACCAATCAATARTGTGTAACATTGTCTTTGACTGTGTGCTCTGAGGCTGGTAATAAGATATTAAATTTTCACAAAAAGTTTAACATTGAGCAACATTTTTACTTAAAGCTGCAGTAAGAGTATGACTTGGTATAATTCAGTTACTTTGCTATTGGAATACTAAACTGATTAGAGTCTGTAAACAATCATGGTAATCCCAATATTTTCTTCAGCAATAATAAGAATAACATGAACCAAAACACAATATTCACTAGAACAGATCATTTTTAAAGGGTATGATATAATGCTGTGTGTTTGTGTTTTAGATCTACAAATCTACCAAGTGTAATGACATGCAGCAAACTGGATACTGTCCCAGAGGACCATTTTGTGCATTTGCTCATGTTGATCGTAAGTTTGTCATCCTCTGTTACCTCATCGTGTTTATTGATTTTAAGATGTTTTCATCTGTTTGTGCAAATATATTGTGGTGGTAATGTCAGTATGGAAGGGTTATTTCAAATTAATGACACTGGCGGTGTTGTTCAGCTATGGCTACAACACTAAAAAAAAATATATATATTATATATCATACACAACAAATATCAAAACAAGGCATGATGAGTGATCACTGATTCCCTAATTTAGATATCAAGAAGGGCTATGTTTTGACTGTTTTGTTTGTGTTTATTTTTTATTCAGATGAATCAGTCTTTAGTAGAGAAGTAGCTGATAATGAGTTTAATACGGTAAGTTGTTATTTTATTTTATTATTTGATTTTAGAATATATTTGAACCATTGCTAAACTTATCAGTGTTTTTCTTTAGTCTTTACCATTAGGTGCACAAGGGGCTTTTGGAATGGATGGTTCTCATCTCATTAGTTCTCTACCCCAACCAGTGGCTAAACCTTCTCGTTCAATGTCTACATCATCTGTTGGAAGTTTAGGCGAGCCACTTACCCCAGGAGGTTCCTACCCTAAGGCACCTGGTTCAGAAAGATCTGAAAGGAGCAGTAGTCGTGAGGAAGACCACCAGGTTATTTCTCATTCCTGTAGTCTGCTGTTTTTTGTTTGTTTCATGTGTGTGTGTGTGTTTTTATCAAGTGTAATGGGATGTAATGGTAGTTACAGGGGCAGATCCAGAAATTTTGAAAGAAGGGGGAACATATAATAGAATCTGCACTTCTTGAGGACTTTCGATCAGAAATGAAACACTATTTTCTATTTTTGGACTTTATTGCTTACATAAATCATAGAAAATCATAAATCTTATAACAAAAATATGATACTCACAGTAAAACATGTTGTATTAATTGTATTATGATATAAAATAAAAATTAAAAAAGCTATGGAAAGTCACCATTTTGACATTTTTTTGGACTTTTGATAGGCTGCAATACGAAGACAGATATTATCAATAGAAAATGACCCTAACCTAGATGAAGCAGAAAAGGCTAGAAGAAAACAGGTGATTATCAAATACATTGAATGACCAGTGATTTCATTTTAATGTGCATTATTTGTGGGACTGTTTAATGAGACATCAACAATTATAAGTTTGAGCCTTGAAACTAAAATACAAAGATGGTCCCGGCTTACACTGATCTGTGCTGGTGTATATTTATGCTTGTAACTTAGGGAGAGGTGAATAGGTGCAGCATGATTGATTAAGCAAACAAACATGTACAACCCTTCACAGCTCTGTTGCATCTCACCTATGGATGACTAGGACCAACACAAAGCTCAAGCAGTGTGAAAATCCAATGGCAGGCTGTTACTGTACCCACTTAGTTGATGCTTGTTATCTCTTCTGATTGTGCATTAATTCAAAAATAATGTCTGCTGTGATTTTTTTTCAGAATTTCCTTACGTCAAGAGCATCTTTGTCATCATCATCAGGATCAGCTCCACCCACGCCCTCTAGTGTTTCTGCATCAGCACCTGCATTCTACCCAGCGGCTGATACTGTTGAATCAGTGGTAGAAAGTGCATTAGATGATCTTAACCTTGATGATTTTGATGTCTCAGAATTAGAAAAAGAGTTAAACCATGCATCACCAGGTTCAACGTCATTAGGGGACTCACTAACGTCATTGACTATAGCTACCATGGGATCTGCACCAGTCAGCATACCAGGGTCATGTTCACCACAGTCTTTCACTCCACAGTCACCCACATCTCCTTTAGGACAATATTCTACTTCTTTTGGATCAGCTGCTTCTCAAAAGGTATGGTATAGACAAGGATTGAGACACGCTCTGTTAAATTACAATAGTTACAGTGTTGTGGTTATCATGTCATGGGTTGCAGATACCAAGTCATGTGTCATGTGTTATATATGTGCCAAGTCATGTGTCATGTGTTACATATGTACCAAGTCATGTGTCATGTGTTATATATGTACCAAGTCATGTGTCATGTGTTATATATGTACCAAGTCATGTGTCATGTGTTATATATGTACCAAGTCATGTGTCATGTGTTATATATGTACCAAGTCATGTGTCATGTGTTATATATGTACCAAGTCATGTGTCATGTGTTATATATGTACCAAGTCAT